GCCAACCCAGGACTACGCTACCAAGTTGAGAGTTTCCTACTTGGTCATTTAAAAATTGGCCAAACAGGACCGGAATGCGTACATTTCAGCAGGTCAGAAATTGCAAAACGCTGATGCCATTTACTGACAGAGCCCCAGACCCAAGGACTCCGCTGGTGTAAATATTTCCAGATTCCTGGTGTGAATGACCAAGTAGGAAACTCTCAACTTGGGTGATACCAGGGCAGGGTGCAGGGAGGGACCCCATCCCAGCAGAATTCCTCATCCGAAGGGACCCCGGCCCCGTCCCAGACGGTCTTGTGGAAACCTCCCACCTCTGATGATGGGGAGCAGGGAGACGGGGTTTCAAGTTCACACTTGGTTTGGGTTTTCTCAAGTTCAGTTGGTTGGAAAATTAAGGCAAGAAGTCAAGTTTGGCCAGAGTTCCATGGAAGGCCACCAAAGAGTCATCTCTCGTTCTGACTCTCTTTTCTTGGAAACTTCTAAGGCCCAAGTACACACACTTGTCTTTCTGGGAAAACTTCAGATTTTGACCATGACCCTCATTTACAGGTTTCCATTAGCCCAAAGGTCAGGGCTCTAGAAGTGACCGTCCCCGATGCCCTGTCACACGGGTGTAAGTTATTTACTTACAAGTACCTTCCGGACATTTTCCGCACGACCACAGTGATGATCCCACCAATGAATACAATGGCTAGTAAGACCACAACTATGATTACGATCAGGGTCCCTGTCCCGAAGCCACCTGAGTGAGAGGGAAAATGCCATGAGCCCCAGGTACACAGCACACCTGCCATAGACACAGCCTGTCGTTTACACGCAGGGCGGCTGCCCCGCTGTCGAAAGTTCTGTGTTGTTTCCCGGGACCCAGAGGGAGCTGTTTTAGAACAGGAGACACTCTGGGCTATTTTAATCCCATCTTACAAATGGAAAGGCGTCTGGGTCTCAGGGTGGATGAAGTATACCATTCCTACAGGGTGGATTCACAGCTGATTATCGGATAGCGTTTGTGTACGGCTGTGAAATTAGCCCGTTTCCACCGAGTAACAATAAATTATGATACGACACCATTCTCCATGGCTGTCATTACGTGAATAGACCTACCCATGGTTTGATTACTTTCAAATACAGGCAATTCCCTTTTCTCTCTTAAAAAAAGTTTGAAACCTGTTCTCGGAAGGTGCCCTATTCTGCCCTTGTTGACTCCAATCCAGGCAAGAATGTAATTCATCACGAAGATCAGGTTCAAAGAGACCTTTTTAAAAAATAAAAAATAAAAAAAATCCCCAAAGAATATTTTGATACTGAAATCTAGCTTACCTTTCTCCACTGTGGTCTGTGTGCCTTCTGTAAATAGAAAGAGAGGTAATGACATAGAATTATTAGGATTTAGTAACTGCAATTTAACAACTGGCAAGAGATGAATTTGCCCTGAGTGGAACATAGCAAAACACAAAGCAAAGAAGATCATTTCTTAAATAAATTGGGTATTTTTCAGCAAGCCTTGACAGGATCCCGTCTTCAGAGCTATGATTACTGAATTGATGAACGCCTCTTCATGCCTGGGGGTCCAAAGTACTTCTGTTGACATTACTTTTCTCCTGTTGACTTTAGGGAGCGGAGTCAAGGCAGCCGACCCACAGAGGTCTTAGATAAATGATCCAAAAAAAGTTTCAGAGCTTAGGGTAACAGAAGGACCCAAGGCCGCCGATTCTTGGTCCAATGTCAAGAGCGCGGAAAGCTCACCCCCCGTGAGGAGGTCCGTTTTGAAGAATTTTCATTCCGAGAGCAACGTGCTCTAGTTTTGGAAGACGTGGCCAAGACGGCGATTCGCCTTCTGGATGTGAATCCCTGCTTTTTCTTTAATAGCGAAACTCACGTCTTGCGGGGCCGCAGCAGCAAGGTGCCGGGCCCAGGTTAACGAGAGACTGCGCCCCTTGAGTTTACGCCACCGTGACTTCGGGACTTCTCTCTGCAGCCAGACCTAGTTCAACAGTGACGGCGCGAGTATTTTCCTATCCCACGGGCATCCGTTATTTACTTACAAATATCTTCCCGTAAGTCAATAACAAAATCGTGGGTTTCTTTCAGATAAATTTACATGATTCCTATTTAAAAATAAAGGTGTTTTGGCCCGGCCGGGCGTGGCTCAGCGGTTGAGTGTCGACCTAGGATCCAGGCGATCGGGGTTCGATTCCCGGTCAGGGCACAGGCCCGGGTTGCGGGCTCGATCCCCAATGACTCTCTCATCATTGGTGTTTCTCTCTCTCTCTCCCTCTGCTGCCCTCTCTCTGAAATCAATAAAGATATATAAAAAAAAAAATAAAGGTGTTTTGTTTTGTTCCTCCCATCGAACTCTTTATATACAGAGTCCTTACCTCCTCTGGGGGGTGTCTGTTCATCGAGTTTGCAGGAGAAGAGTCGGGGTGCCTCGGCTTAACGATACAATCGAGAGAAGCGAACCACGCCTCCAGGCTTTATTTTCAAAGCGCGTTTAGGAAGTTTTTCGTCTTACGGTGGTAAAATATTCCTAACAGCCCGCAACTCGCTATCTTCGTGATTTCTGTGCACAATTCAATGGTAGAAAGTACGTCCGTACTCTCGGGGCACCATCGCCACCATCCATCCCCAGAGCCCTTTCCATGTCACAGCCCTGACGTGTACACTCATTCGGCGGAAACTCCGCACCCGGGCCCCCGCCGTCCACCTTCTGTCTCTATAGCTTGTCCGCTCCGTGCACCTCACCCCAGAGGGATCAAGCGGCATCTGCCTTCCGGTGCCCGGCTGATCCATTTAGCATAACAGCTCCAGGTTGCCCCCGCTGTGCCATGAGATAGCTGCCCGCTGCATAAACCCACTAAAGTTTATTCCCGTTGTGGGAATTCACCGCATTTTGTTTATCCCTTCACCCGCCGATGAAGTCCACGTTTAGCTACGGTAGATAATGTTGCTNTTTTTTTTTAATTCTCTCCTGAGGCCACGTTTGCATTGATTTTTATAGAGAGGGGAAGGGGGAGAGAGACGCAGCAGCGCCCCCCCCAGCACGCACCCGGCCCGGGAAGCCGGCCGCCGCCCTCCGGTGTGCGGGAGAAGCCCTGCGACCAACCGAGCCGCGCCCGCCAGGCCTGAGGCATTTTTTTAAATCCTCAGAAATACTCTAGATTTTGTAAAACCAGATTGGCTTGGGGTCAGGGAATGTATATCGACAATGAAGAGCGACTCTCTGGGTGTCCGGGGGTGCGTCTGCTTTGAGGAACCACCGCTCTGGGTGACGTCTCTGCGTTTACTTTCACTTGGAGATGGAAACACCCATCCAGGTAAAACGATTTATACCAAATATCCCGAGTTAGCAAGCTACTCACTGCAGTGACTGAAGGGTTGGCTCATTTCCTCTCACACCCCTACCTACTACAAAATTAGGGCATATTTTAAAAAAAAGAAAAAAGACTTAATTTCTTTTAAGAAATCTCTAGAAGGAGGAAGCTGCCTCTTTCCGTCGCTGTGTTGCAATGGCGACGGTCTCTCTTCATTCGTATCAGTGACGGTCTGAACCCCATAATAAAGGCAGAGGCCCCCATCCCCTTGCGCAGCTTCTCTCCGATGTTCCATTCACGCTGCTGCGGGCGCCAACGGGGTCACAAGGACAACGCCAAGCCCTGGCGAGACTGCACTGAAAAGCCCCTCGCTCCAAGGGCGCGGGCATGAACTCGATATAAGGGGGTACACGGTACTATAGAGCCTCCTAAGGCGTATACGGGCTGGCCGAGTTTTATGCTCTTGGGTGAAAACCCACAGTTCTTAGCTCAGCGCTTGCTCTACCCGCTTAGGGTCGGCCACATGACACCAGTAGCCCCTCAACGCGCCCTTGCTGGGGCCACTGTCACCAGCTGTCACTCAAGGCGGAGAGCTGTGTGCGGGAACCTAGTAAGTCGAGTTTGACTTCCAACCTAGTTCGCCGAATTCTGAAACTACCGCGAAAAGCGTGGTTCGGAATTCACNACCCACGGGGTGACCGGTGGCCGCCCGCAAGGTCGTGGTGCTCCCTCCCGCTCCCTGGGCGTGCGCCGTGCTTTCCGAAGTCGGCAGGTCTTCCAGATGAACGCCGGTGCCCTTCGCACTCGTGGGCGCCTGTTGGAAATGTAAGCGAGGCAAGACGGGAACATCACATCACGGTTCGACATACGTCCTCTGCCTTATCCCAGGAAAGGAGCCAAGGTGGCCTCAATGCATAAAATATATGACGACGCGAATTTCAAGTGGAAACAAATTGAAGAGTAGAAACGGGGACAAGACCTAGTCGCCGCCAGAAGCGAGCGCCTGGTGTTTACTTCCATGGGCCTTAATTCTTGCTGACCTCCTGGGGTCTTAATTCTTCACAGAATACCCGATCGCTAAGCTTTCTCTCCCTTGAATTTGAGCGGCACTCCTCCCTGCAACATTTTGGGGGCACGTATTATGGTGTAGCATCCTTCAATGCCCTCCTTCTCCCAATCGCTAGCCTTTATTGAGAACTTACTATGCGCCGGCCCCTTTAAATACCTCACGTACTCCACAGAAAAAGCCCTGTGCAGTCGATCCTAGGATTAGTCCTATGGCACGAACAAGGTTTAGAGAGATTCGAAAATCCACCCAAGCCCACGTAGCCAACATGTATTTATTACATGTATTTATTAAAGCCGTGAGTCTACTGAATATAATTACCAGGTATTATGTGTTTTTCAAATTTAAAAGACCTACTGTATTTACATTTTCATAGTAGTATTCGAGAATTCCCAAAGATGAATATAGAAATGTTCAATTAGATTAAAAACAGAGAACGTTTTACTTGTTATAGTTTCTGACTTACATAAGCTATTTACTGGCAAAATGGGTTCATTAAATTACTTGGAAGTGGAATTAATGAGAAAGATTCCACTTATGCATCTGAGACTTGGGAATGGCTCTGTGGACTCCAAAGTTTATGCCAATGTCACAGTCAACAGCTATGCTCACGACCGCAGGCAACTGAAGCAAAAACACGTAAATGGGACCACAGCAAACTTAAAAAGTCTGTGCATGAAAGAACACAATCGGCAAAGCGAAAACGAGAGGAAGTCTTTGCAATCCTGGCCCTGAGAAGGGCCTGAAGGACTCCTGCGCCTCAACAACAGAAGATCGGATAACCTGGTTAAAAAACAGCAGAGGGTCTAAACAGACACTTATCCGAAGATAATACACAACAGCCAACAAGCGTAGGACAATACTCTCAGCACCGCTCATCATTAGAGTAGCCCAAACCAGCGCCTCAGAGGGACTGTCACCTCACGCCTGTCAGCATGGCTGCTTCAAAAGAACAGAAAGTGACGCGCTGGCGAGGTCGCGGAGGAATCGGAACCATTGGGCNGGGACTGTCACCTCACGCCTCTCAGCATGGCTGCTTCAAAAGAACAGAAAGTGACGCGCTGGCGAGGTCGCGGAGGAATCGGACCCATTGGGCACCGTTGGTGTAACTGGAAGTGGTGCATCTACTGTGGAAAACAGGATAGAGGTGCCTCAGAGAAATTAGGAACAGAACTGCTGGCCTGGCTGGCGTGGCTCAGCGGCTGAGCATCGACCTCGGATCCAGGAGCTCGGGGTTTGATTCCCGGTCAGGGCACATGCCCGGGTTTCGGGCTCGATCCCCAGCCGGGGGCGTGCAGGAGGCAGCTGATCCATGACTCTCTCTCATCAATGACGTTTCTCTCTCTCTCTCTCCCTCTCCCTTTCTCTCTCTGAAATCAATAAAAAAGAACCATCATATGATCCAACGATCCCACTTGTGAGTATACACCCAAAAGAACTGAACGCAAGGTCGGCTGGGGCTCCGCGTAGTCTGCAGCAGTGAGGCCTGGGGACGGCTTCCAGCCTGTTCATTACCGGTCCCAGCAGGACAAGAACCTGTGAATGCAGGTCCGGAGACATGCAGCAGTGCCAGTGCTGCAGGACCCAAGACTCGTCTTGCGCTGGACAGTGGGCTGTGCCAGCCTGGGCATCCATAAACCTACGTTCTCGCCGGTTTGCGAGCCCTGTGTAGACGCTTGAATCACCTGTGACCAGCACACCAGCGACCTGCTAGCTGGATGGGACTGGGAGGTCGCTTTTGTATGTGACAATGCCTTTGTATGTTGGCTCCGCTGATTATCTATCATCTATCTATCTATCTATCTATCTATCTATCTATCTATCTATCTAGCATCTATCTAGCATCTATCAATCAATCAATCTATCTATCTATCTAGCATCTATCTAGCATCTATCTAGCATCTATCTATCATCTATCTATCTATCTATCTATCTATCTATCTATCTATCTATCTATCTATCTATCTATCTATCTATCATCATCTCCTTGCATCTACCTACCTACCTGCCTATATCCTTGCATGTGATCCGATGCCTACAAGCCACAGTCCTCTCTTTCTGGGACACTCACCTGGGCTGTCAAGCCAGCAGAGTCATAGGGCTCTTCACTGGCACCTGGCGTCACCATGCCATCTTCCACACTTGGGGTCGTGACGTCATCTTCTGGCGGGACTGTGACGACTGAAAAAGAAAGACTGAGTCAGGGCTGACCAGTGGGCAGACCTCATGGGCTGGCTACAGTGAGATTATTTTTTCCCATTTCTTTGGGGGATTTTTGTTGTCGCTGGGTTTCCCGCTTACCAACCAACCATTCTCCTGGCCGCGCCCCTGGCACACACGGCAGCTGGGTTGTCCCCATGGCCGGAGAAAGAGATATGGAAATAGCAACGGTGAAGCCGCCAGCCCTCCCCGGGGTCCCCCCGACGCAGGCTGAACAGGGCGATGCACCTGTCCTTCTCAGTAATGAACCGGATTTTTTCTGGTGCTCTTTCATATGATGAATTAACGTATTCAGGTGACCAGAATAGTAGGCAGACTTGGAAATATTCTAAACAGGGTCACCTCATATTCTAAACAGGGTCATCTCAGGAAAGCTCTAAAACCACTGCACAGGCTCTCTCTCCGACCTACGGCGTCCGAATGTCCATACGCAGGGTCCCCATCTTCCCAGTGCCGGGCTTGCTCTCCATTTAACGTGGACACTGCCACCTCCCCGAATGACTGGTGTGACCCCCGACCTCGGAGATGACATAGTCAACCTCTTATTTTACAGTGAGGCTAATGTCTGCAGGGGAAGGATCCAGAGCTCACTACAGATCCTCACTGCCCCTGGCCCTGGCTCTTCTGCATTAGCACCGGGTGGCCCACCCTGTGGTGCCAAGGGGAAGGGTCTCTGGAGGAGCAGGGGATAGGTGGGCTGGGGATAGCGCGTTGAGTTCCACAGTCGGGCAGGGAACAGATGGCGACACTGGCCTCTCTTTCAGCCTGTGTCGCAACGATCTGAACTAATCACCACCAGGCCACGGCACCGTCTCCATTCACCCAATAACCCTTTTTGCGAGTTCAAAGCCTGACTCATTGGCTCCGTCCCCAGACTCAGAGGGGCCCTGGAAATTCCATGACTTAAGTCCAGTTGCAAAATAAGGGAGCGCACGCATCCCAGGAGCGAGGGGGGAGCCTGGGGACGGCTTCGAGTGTGTAAGCAAAGAGCAGATGTTCGTGCCCGGGCGGCGAGCAGCCCATCCTTGCCTCACGGAGCCGTGTTCCTCCTGACGCCTGGCCGGCCCAGCCAAAGGCACCGCTAATCAATATTTGATCACAGCGTAGACGGGCAGGGCCTCTAGAGTAGATCCGTCTGTTCTCCTTGCCCCTGGAGCCCTGCCCCAGTGCTGCCGGGGCGTCTCTTTGGATGAACCTCCTAAGTATACGCATTTATTTTTCACCGCGGTGGCAAGAGGCTGTCACCAGTGAGCAATAACTGAGAACCTCAGTGCATGCAGATGGTCGGTCTCCCCTGAGCCATTTGCTGGGGTGGGGGTGGGAGGAGTGATTGGCTCCCACAAGGATTTAGGCCTGCGGTGAAGACAAGTGTTGAATATATTTATCGAGCCCAAGGGGAAATATCCCTTCGCCTGGCAAGTAGTCCTTATTTAAAAACAAACAAAAAAAAAAACCCAGCCCAGATGGTGCGGCTCAGCGGTTGAGCATTGACCCATGAACCAGGAGGTCACGGCCACATGCCGGGGTTTCAGCAAAATCACTTCCTAAGGGCCATTCTCTAACTTTAAAAAACAAAAACAAACTACCCTGGCTGTAAAAAAAAAATAAAATCAAGCACCGAATGAAGTTGGCCTGAGCTCTTTCATAGAAAGTCTAGTTCATTGAAAGCGCAAAGATCCAAGTTCCTTCTGGTTCCTTTCTCCGCTGGGCCCCAGGGCCGGGCTCTAAAACCGCTCGGAGGAGACAAAGGGTGTTTTATGAAGGACACCCACGATTAAGATGCAGGTCCTTTGTCCTGGCTTTCTCTGGGCTCCCTGGGAAAGCTGATGTAAATTTAACAAGAGACCCTCAGTTGTCTCGCTCCTGATGCCGGCTGACGGCTTTCCAGGGCGAGGACGCCCCCGCCCCGCTGCCGAGTTTCCAGCCAGCATTTGCCGTCCGGTCCCCAGAAGGCATTTGCCGCCCTGTCCCTCGCCCGGTGAAACTCAAACCGCGCGCCGAGGCCGCGGCCCTGCGACGCTTCTCTCCCGGGGACACGTGTGCGCAGACGACAAGCACGCTGCTCACGTGTTTTCCTGTCCCGCCCGGCCCCACCCGGCTGTGGCTCAGGACCAGTGGAAGTTTCCACGTCCGGGCACTGTCCCCCCAAAGGCTAGGCCGGCGCTGACGCTGCCTGCGAGGCGACCCGGTGGGTGAGCCCATTTCACCTTCAGGTTCCTGCGCTCCGGAACAAATAACAGCGAAACAGATGTGACGGGCACGGACGTGCTCCTGGTGAGTCATCTGATCCTGGCACTGACCCCTAATGTTTCATACATGTAGGGGGTGGCGTTTCTTTAAAAATATCTCAGAATTTAAATGCGACATGAAATCGCGCTGTTACTGTCACTGTATGTGATAGTCCAGATGCTTGATAAAAATCTAGTGTTTTCAATTTTTCGTTTTATTTCCGTTTCTCTGACTAGTAGTGGTGGGTTATTTCATGTTTGTGGGCCATCAGGAACGTCTCCTTTTGGAACCATTTTTCCCTTCCAGTATTCATCATCTTTTTCAGTTTTGTAGATTTTTTTATGACCTTAAGATTATATAGGGTGTCCCAAAAATATATACACACACTTCGAATAATTATAATTATTAATTAAGATACATTTCATTTTCAAAATTGAGCTATTGGCACTTAAAGTGTGTATATGTTTTTGGGGGACACTCTATTCTTTGGAATAAATGCTGCAAACATTTCACTAATTGGCATCGGCATCTCTCTTTCGTCGCCGGTGAGCTTTGTCGCTCATCAGATTTATTAAGCTTGTGTTGTCCCTCTGATGTCCCAGTTACCAACCCTGCCTTATAAATATTCACCTATATTTTCCTTAAGGCTTTGTTCTTACACTTACTATTTCTATTTGCCTTGTGCTTATTTTCAAGTATGATGCAAAATGGGAATATAATTTGATTTCCCCCAAAGGCTGCTGTTTCAGTGGGGTCCTCTTTTCCCCGCTGCTTCCAAACAGTCCTGGGAGAACGGCTCAGCACAAGGACCGGCTCCGACGGCCTGAGGCCTGCACGGTGCCCCCCCTCCCTCCTGCGGATCCTTTCCGGAACAGACCCCTCCATCCGAGCTCCCTCGCCATCAGCGCCCTGCCCCTCCTCGGGGCCAAAAGACGTAGCTAGAATAAAACAGGGCCCAGGGAGGGGGCGAGAGCCAGAAGGGCGCTGGGGTCTTTCCCAGCTGAAGGTTCGGCCCAACAAGAGAGGCTCAGCGCTGTGAGGCCCTGCCTCGCATTCGTTCAGCCATTCTCCTTTTGTAACCATTTTTCCCTTACAGTATTCATCATCTTTTTCAGTTTTGTAGATTTGCTTATGACCTTAAGATTATATAGGGTGTCCCAAAACAGAGAGAAAGGAGTGGACAAGGTGAGGTCTCCACTCTTTGTAAATTTGGGTGCTGTTGGGGTAGGGTGCGGGGCTCATAACAAGCAAGCAAGCCAGGAAAATCTCAAAACAGTGCTCCTGCACCCCCTTCAGATCTCTGCTCAAAGGGCTCCCCCCACCCCAGTGCAACCAGTACCCTCCCCCCACGCCCACAGGCCAGAGTACTTGCCGCCCACCAAGCCATGTATGTATTTACTCATTGCTGTCCCACGAGAACATACACCGTTTTCCCTCAATGCCCCCCTTGCCTAAAATACCTGGCGCGTAGTAGGCGCTTCGTAAGTATCTCTTTAACGGGCGAGCAAGCTGCAGGCAGGTGAAGGGCAAGTGCCCACTAACCCTGAAGCCCAGGATGGGCTCGGGGCTCCGCGCCTGGAGAAACGGGGTGGCCAGTGTGGCTGGACAGTGAGAGGTAAGACTGCGGGAGGAAGAGGGCCAGTCCCGGGGGACCCTGCAGGGAAGGGCTCGGATTCCATTTGGAACCATCTGATTTCATTGGGAACCAGGGTCACAACCTGAGTCCAAGAGGCCACCCTGGGGGCTGTGTGAACAGTCGTGTGCTGGGATCAGACAGCCAAGCAGGGGCGGGCGATGTTCACCCCAGGACAGTGGCAAAGGGAGGTAAGGAACCGGGCAANACCGGGCAGGGAACGGCTGGGACGTGTCTGAAGTCACTACCCACCAACAATGAGAAATCGGCGCCACGTCTCAGAGCCGGGGATTCGTTTACCACCTGTCACAGCCCTGGCGATACCAACGCCTCGCTGGATGTACTGAGTGGGGTGGGATGTTCCCACGTGACGCCAAGTCCTCTGCTGGACCCCCCTTTTTTATCAGCCTCAAAGCCCCGTCCATTTCCGTCCCCGCCTGCTGTCCCCTCCCTGCTGACCTGCAACGGGACGGCTCTGGAGCCGCTGGGTCAGGGCTGTATCTTGATGTGGGAGAGTTGGTTTTAAACATGAAGAAGCCGCAAGCCAAGTGACCCTTGGGGTTTTCAAAGCAAAGCCGTGGTGTTGGCCAACGGATGAAGGCAACTTTCACGTCGCCTGCTGGTGCCCAGCATCTGGAAGCTGCTCCGGCGTCTCGATACACAAACAAGCTTTTGAAGATGTTGACTACAGGGCCTCGGCTGACTCATGGCCACTAGGAAGCAGAATCTCTCTCTCTCTCTTCTTACGACATCCTAGGAAGTTCTGGTTTTCCCCCGTAAGAGAATTAGTAAATATTTAATTCTACCATCCCTCTCCCAGTTACATTTGGGGTGAAGTAATGCTTGTGGGGGTGGGGAGGGGTGTCAAAACATTTGTTTGAAAAACAAAAATAAAAATGCTCACTTCTCTTCCTCTGTCCAGATCAGGCTGTAGTGTGTTATTTCTTTATCATGTTTCAATCCTGGGCTCAGAAGCGTGAAAATCAGTACACCCCAAACCAGAGAAAGATGCCAACCCCCAACGCTTTCCAGGCCCCCGAGGACCACCCACTGCGATCACGAGGTACTCGGATCTCTGTACAACCCTTCCCCTCATCCC